GATACACATTTTCACTATATTGAAGGTTTGTAGCAACCCTGCATTGAGTAAGTCTATTGGCGCGCACAATTTTTCAACAGCAAGTGTTTACTGTGTGTCTTATTTTGGTAATTCCCACAATGACTCAAACTTTTTCATAATGCTGTTGCACTCTTAATAGACCACACTGTAAACATGACTTTTATATGCTTGGGGAAACAAAAATTTAAATGGCTTGCTTTATTGCCATAATCAACCTTATTTGCAGTGGTTTGGAAACGAACCTGCAATATCTCTGAGGTATACTTATACAATCCTAACTTTCTCATCTGTGGAATAGAAAAATAATACAACCTCATTGTTATAATGTAATGAGACTCAAAGTCTTCAGCAAAGGGTCTGTTGTAAATTGTTACGTAATATGTGGAATTGCCTATACTCTTTTTAGAGTATTAATTTTTTTTTGTTTTGTTATTTCTGGAAATGTGGAAACCTTGGCTTCCCTGAATTTTTTCTTGTGTACACAATTAGTGTGTCAGAAACTCAGCTATAAAATACCTGCTGTTTAAGGCAGTAGCTACATGTTATTTATAGAAAATTTGAAGGCCAAAGTGATACAAAATTATTCAGTTCTAGTTATTTATATAGCAAATTAGAGATAATTTTAGTAGGGTAATTTATATCTTGCTCATTGATTCATTTACAGATACTGGAAATTTTTTTTATTTCATTGTTACCAAGAGAAATATACAATAAGTAGATAGCATTTTTCATGTACTACTTAAACATTTCTAAAAATAGTCACAATTAATAATTGAGACAACATAAAAATACAGAAAAATAATTCTACCAATTAAACTTTTGGTTTGAATATTTTATTTTAGACTTTATTTTTACTCAGTCATGATTTCAATAAACACAAAATTGGCCAAAAAATGTTCTCTGTTAAAGGTAAATATTCTTTTTGCATTTACATTTTTATATTGAGGACCCATGCTTTTTCTTTGTTTTCCTCTAACAACTGGTAGATATTAGGATACTGATGGTGGGGTGTGAAGATATGCACAGATGCACCTCTGTGAGGTATCAGGATATGAGACTTTAGATAGCAGCAGATGGCCATCAGGATTTAGAGAGTGGGGTGGCTGATGGGATTAGACTATCAGAAGTAGGTAAAGTATTAGAAAATAGGGGAATTATTTACTCCAAAGGGAAATTTTTTTCCAGCTTTATAATTTTATATTCTTTAGATCTGAAAAAGCCAGGATCTCAAAAATCCTCCAGCCAGGCTCCCATCATTGGTTTTGTGCATTTCCCTCAAACCACTTTCTTTTTTCTTTCTTTCTTTTTAAAAAAAATCATTTTATTAGGGACCACTTTCTTTTTCAACCAAATGGGTCACCACACACTTGAGAAACCATTAAGAAACTTTTACTAGAGGAATTACTGAAACCCAAATAAAGACTGAGCATGATAGTGGCACAAGAGGAAAGTCAAAGGAAATAGAGGAAAGAGCTGGGAGACAAAGGGCATTTATAAAGAGGTCTAAATAAAGGCATGTACATATTTAAATATATTTATTTATGAGGATGGGGGATAGACATTGGGCCTCCACTCAAGTACTCCTCAATGCAAGAATATTCTATTAAATTGGCATTCTATGATGCTCACCTTCCCGACACAACTTCTGAAGACAAAGCGGGTGAATAAACAAATGTGGTGAAGAAAGCTGATGGTGCCCGGCTATCAAAAGATAAAGCATCTGGGATCTTAAAGGCTTGAAGGTAAACAAGCAGCCATCTAGCTCAGATGCAACAAAGCCCACATGGAAGAAGCACACCAGCTGCTGATCACGAGGTGCTGAAGGGATCAGTTATCAGACATCAAAGAACAAAAAAATCATATCATTGTGTGCTCACCTCCATGATATGATCGCTGAAGACAAATGGTTGCACAAGCAAATGTGGCGAAGAAAGCTGATGTTTCCCTGCTATCAAAAGATACAGCATCCAGGGTCTTAAAGGCTTGACGGTAAACAAGTGGCCATCTAGCTCAGAAGCAACAAAGCCCACATGGAAGAAGCACAACAGCCTGTGCGATCACAAGGTATTGAAGAGATCAGGTATCAGGCATCATCAGAACAAAAAATCTTACCATAGTAAATGAGGCGGGAAGTGTGGAGTGGAGACCCAAAGCCTATTTGTAGGCCACTGGACATCCCCTTACAGAAGGGTCTCGGGGAGGAGACAAGCCAGTTAGGGTGTGATTTAGCAACGATGAAACATACAGCTTTCCTCTAGTTCCTAAGTGCTTCCTCCCCCCCACTATCATGATCCCAATTCTATCTTGCAAGTCTGGCTAGACCAGAGGATGTACACTGGTACAGATAGGAACTGGAAACACAGGGAATCCAGGGAGGATGATCCCTTCAGGACCAGTAGTGTGAGTGGTGATACTGGGAGGGTAGAGGGAGGGTGGGTTGGAAAGGGGGAACCGATTACAAGGATCTACATGTGACCTCCTCCCTGGGGGACGGACAACAGAAACGTGGGTGAAGGGAAACGTCGGCTAGGGAAAGATTTGACAAAATAGTAATTTATAAATTATCAAGGGTTCATGAGGGAGGGGGAGCTGGGAGGGAGGGGAAAAAATGAACTGATGCCAGGGGCTTAAGTGGAGAGCAAATGTTTTGAGAATGATGAAGGCAATGAATGTACAAATGTGCTTTACACAATTGATGTATGTATGGATTGTGATAAGAGTTGTATGAGCCCTTAATAAAAGTTTTCAAAAAAAGAAACTTTTTTTGTAAATATCTATGTAAAAGAGGTGTAGTATTTTTTTAATATCTATTTTAAGTTAACACATAAAACAGAAGATACATTTGTCCCATTTAGGACAAATTACAGGCAAACTACAATTCATGAGTGCTTCTGTATATAAAGAGAAAATGAGGCTCTCTGCTCCATAGAGTTACTGACTCAGAAACCCTAGGGAACAGCTTCACTCCTTCCTGGAGGGTCACGATGAATCAGAATCAAGGTGATGACACAGAGTGGGTTTGTCTATAAAAGGATTGTGCCAATTTGTACTCTGTCAGCTGTTAGATGAGTGCTGCCATTGCTTCATGCTCTTGCACCTGGTATTGCAAATCCTTGTAATTTGATCAGTTCTGGTGAATGTATACTATATCTTACTGTGGTTTTTACTTCTATTCCATGATTTTTTATGTTAAATAGTTGTTCAATATTTATTGGTCATTTGAGAATCCTCATTTGTGAAATGAATGCTTGTTCAAGTATTTTGTCTATTATTTTATTGTATTGGTTTTTCTGAGAAATATATTCCTGGCAAAGGGAGCAGCAACAGTTTGGGGCTACTTGAGATGTGAATAAAGGTACAGAGTAGGTGGGAGCTAATATCATTCATTTTTTTACAAAAAAGGAAACTGCAGCATAAAAGTAGTTAAACAACTTGTCTAAGTAAGTAGTAGAGCCAGGATTTAAATCCAGGGAATCTGGTATCAGAATTTGTACTCTTGAGCAATGCTACACTTTCTTTAAGAGTCATGACATCTTTGAAGTGGAAGGAACCTTGGAGATGATCTTTGTATAGGGATGGATATGTAGGCTGAGAGAGAATTTATTTGTCCAAACTCATATAGCATATCTATAATAAAGCAGTAACTGGTACCCAAAGGAAAGCAGGAACTGTGTTCGTAGCTTCTGGTCCAGTGTCTTCTATTATTATGTTCAGTTGCCAGAATTAATGGTAGCTGGTTATGCAAAGAAGGCAACATAATGATCTAATTTTAAATCTAGAGTACAGATAGTCCCTGACTTATGAAGAGGTTATCTTCCAATAAATACTCCACTGGAAATCGACTCTGATATAAATCAAATACCTCAACTATAAATTTACTTTGATTTATTATTGCTTTTTATGATCAGTATCTGATTTTTGTTTGTCTTTGGGAGTTGGGAACATTACATCTGAAAATGATAATAACAAATTAGTCACTGCAGCATTGTAGTAGTATCATTCTGCTTGAATTGTAAACACAAGGTAGACAGATGATGTGGGATTAAGATGTACAATGTGATGTAAAAGGTGGTTGCAGATGTAGTTCATCATAATTGGAATGCATTGTAAGTCGAGGACTACCTGTATTTTCTCATTCCCAGTCCTACCTGATACAGGAGGCCTAGCGGTTCCGAGGGAAAAAAGATGTGGGAACATATTAGAGATAGTTAAAGTTAATTGTGTCAACCTGGCCAATAAACACATGTGGGGTTAATTGAAAGGAAAAAAGATGTGGGAACATATTAGAGATAGTTAAAGTTAATTGTGTCAACCTGGCCGATAAACACATGTGGGGTTAATTGAAAGGCAGAGAGATAAATGGCTCAGGGAGCCTTGCCTTTCTAGTTCTTGGGTCTCTTGCTTTCTGATGGTCGGTCCAGGGTGCAGCTGCCTTAGCCAGTTCTCTGCTTCAGCTGGCAAGGCTCACTTCCTGCAAGACCTCCCTTAGGAGAAACCACATGGACCTACCCTGATGCAGCCCTGGATGCTGGAGCAGCTGTGTGGAGACCTGCCAGCGCTGAGATGCTTACACTTCACTGATTCAGCTTTCCTCCTGCAGTCGACATCATTGAGTGTGTTTTTGTGAGATGGAGGAGGACTTTGTGGATTGGTCTTGGACATACGGCCTAATATTGGACTTGTGGCCTTGGGAAGCACTGGGTTGGGATGTTTTCTTGATGTGCATTTGCCCTTTATATAAAACTCTCTCATACATATGAGTTTCTGTGGATTTGTTTCGCTAATGTACTCAGACTAACACCGTATCTCCTTAAAGACCACGGCTTAGGAAACTCAATGGGATAGTTGTACTCTGACACAAAAAGTCTATGAGTTTGAATTAACCTGATAACACACAACAACAATGTGTAACCTAAGTGCTTACTTATATTTCAGAATTATTAGTATGCTTATCATTATTCTACTTTTTATTTTCTCAGTGCAGTTACAATTGGAACTGATATGCTGGAATTGGACTGCCATATCACAAAAGATGAACAAGTTGTAGTATCACATGATGAGAATCTAAAGAGATCAACTGGAGTCAATGTAAACATCTCTGACATCAAGTACTGTGTAAGTACTTGTTTGACATAGGTGACAGTTTATTTGGTCAGAATAATGATATAAATTAGTATGAGTCCAAGTATAGGAATGGACCCTTTAAAAAATCTGATTGTAATGTGTTATATGCTAATTATAGTAAATACTGAAAAAAGAAGGAAAAGTAATACTTAATTTAAACACAGAGCAAACATTGTTTTAATAGGCTACTCTGTGTTTGAGTTGTAATCTCACTGTACATTATGCATATTGTTTTTTAAACACCTTAATATTATAGTCTGAAAGACATTTTTTATAAGCATTGAAAATGACTATATATTATTTCATTGAGTAGATATATTGTTGTTTTTAACCATTCTTTTGTTGAACATTTGGGGATTGTTTGTGGATTTTCAGTATCGTACATTATACTGAGCATCTTTATGTATAAATCTTTTTCTATTATTTATACTTCAATAAACCAAAACCAAACTCACTGCCATTGAGTTGATGCCAAATCATACCGATCCTATGAATTTCCAAAAACTGTTAACTCTTTACGAGAGTAAAAAGCCCTGTCTTTCTTCTGTGGAGCCTCTGGCTGGTGGTTTCAAACTGCTGACCTTGCAGTTTATGTGAAAAAACCAAACTCATTGCCATGAAATAAATTCTGACTCATAGTAACCCAACAGAGAAAATAGAGTTGCTCCTCTTAAGTTTCCAAGGCTGTAAATTTAAATTTTTAGAGTACAAAGCCTCATCTTTTTCCTAACGAGCAGGTGGTAGCTTTGAACTTCTGACCTTGTAGTTAACAGCTTAATGCTTAAGGAGCCCTGGTGGTGTAGTGGATTAGCAGCATTGGGTTGCTAACTGCAGCTGCTCTGCAGGAGAAAGGTGAGGTTTTTATGTTCCTATAAGGCAGTGGTTCTCAACCTTTCTAATGCAGTTCCTCATGTTGTGGTGAACCCCCAACCATAAAATTATTTTTGTTGTTACTTCATCACTATAATTTTGCTGCTGTTATGAATAGGGCGACCCCTGTGAAAGGGTCATTCGACTCCCAAAGGAGTCACGACCCATAGGTTGAGAACCGCTGCTATAAAGATTTATAGCCTTGGAAACCCAAAGGGGCAGTTCTGTTCCATTTTTTTTAAAAATTGTTTTATTAGGGCCTCATACAACTCTTATCACAGTTCATACATACATCAAAATTGTGTAAAGCACATTTGTACATTCATTGCCCTCATCATTCTCAAAACATTTGCTCTGCACTTAAGCCCCCCGGCATCAGGTCCTCATTTTTTCCCCCTCCCTTGGTGCTCCCCACTCCCTGAAAGTAGTATTTTTCATCGTTGCTACATCACATCTTGACTGGCTCGTTTTCTCCCCAAAACCCTTCTGTAAGGGGACGATCAGTGGCCTACAAATGGCCTTTGGGTCTCCACTCCACACTCCCCCACCTCATTCACTATGGTAAGATTTTTTTGTTCTGATGATGCCTGATAACCCTGATCCCTTAGACACCTCGTGATCGCGCCTTCTGGTGTGCTTCTTCCATGTGGGCTTTTTTGCTTCTGAGCTAGGTGGCCGCTTATTTACCTTCAAGCCTTTAAGATCCCAGACCATATATCTTTTGGTAGCTGGGAACCATCAGCTTTCTTTGCCACATTTGCTTATGCACCCATTTTGTCTTCAGCGATCCTATCATGGAGGTGAGCACACAAGGATGTGATTTTTTGTTCTTTGATGCCTGATAACTGATCTCTTCAGCACCACGTGATCACACAGGCTGGTGTGTTTCTTCCATGTGGGCTTTGTTGCTTCTGAGCTAGATGGCCGCTTGTTTACCTTCAAGCTTCTAAGACCCCAGACGCTATATCTTTTGATAGCCAGGCACCAGCAGCTTTCTTCACCACATTTGCTTATTCACCCGCTTTATCTTCAGCAGTTGTGTCGGGAAGGTGAGCATCATAGAATGCCAATTTAATAGAAGAATGTATTCTCGCATTGAGGGAGTACTTGAGTGGAGGCCCAATGTCCTTCTGCTACCTTAATACTAAACCTATAAATATAGGCACATAGATCTATTTCCCCATCCTCAATATAAATATATTTGCATATGTACATGTATTTATCTAGACCTCTATAAATGCCCTTTGCCTCCCAGCTCTTTCCTCTATTTCCATTGACTTCCCTCCTGTCCCACTATCATGCTCAGTCCCCACCAGGGTTTCAGCAATTCCTCTTGGTTACATTACCCTTGATCAAGCCCTACGAGGCCTCCCATACTCTCCTCACCACCGATTTGGATCACTTGTTGTTCCCTTGTCTCTGGGTTTGTTCACACCACTACCTTTCCCCCACCTCCCCCTCTCCCATGTTTCCCTGGAACTGTCAGTCCCGTTGTTTTCTCCTCCAGATTGTTCATCCAGCCTATCTTATTTAGACAGACCTGTCTGTTATGTCTTACAAGGTTGCAATGAATCAGAATTGACTTAATGGCGATTTAAAAAAACTTGAATACAGTACATCTTATAATATAATTATAAATACATTCATAAAATATTTAGTAAAGGTATTTACCTAAAGATCAATTTTCTCTGTATAGTATTTAAAATTAATTCCTTAAGTAAACTCACAGAAGGGAAATTATTGAGTAAAAAGTTGAGAATATAGTGTCTTAGGATCTATTGTAATACTGTAACAACACCTAATAACAGCACTATATATTGCAATTTTCTATTGTTAACTTGAGCCCTGATAGCATAGTGGTTAGGCTTTGGCTGTGATCTGAAAGATCAGCAGTTTGAAACACCAGCTGCTCTTTAGGAGAAAGATGGGGTTTCTACTCCTGTAAAGAATTACAGTCTCAGAAATCCCCAGGGACAGTTCTGACCTATCCTATAGGGTCGCTATGGGTCGACATCACCTTAATGACAGTGAATTCTTATTGTCAGCTTGTTTTTTTTAAGAGTTTAAAAGACTTGTAGTAGCTTATTGATGTCAGAATAATTCAAATTGTGCTGTACCTTTGCCATTACTGGGCATTATAATATAAAAATTTTACTAATTTGCTAGATGAAATTTTATTGTGATTTTTTTTTAATATCAGTAAGTTTAAGGATTTTTCTCTATGATAGTAAATTTTTCTTTAAATGATTGATTCTTTATATTTGCCTATTAAAATCTTTTTCATAGGCAATAAAAGGAAAGTAATTATAGGGAACAATTTACCCCTGGGAAGGTTCTAAGGAGTCCTCATAGTGCAGTAGTTGAGTTACTAACTGAGAGCTTGGTAGTTTGGAGCCATCAGCCACTCCCATAGGAGAAAGTTGTGGCAGTCTACTTCCAGAAAGAGCTGCAGCCTTGGAAACCCTGTGGGCAGTTCTGCTCTGTCCTATGGCTCACTGAGTGGGAATCAACTCAAGGGCAATAGAGGGTGGGTTGAAGAGGTTTCTCTTAAGGGTGTTGTTTGTAAACATGTAGTGTTTTTTTCTTTTATGTTTTGAGAAAGCAAATCTTTACTTTCTAAATGTAAGATAGTAAAGCACTTTAATTTTTGTTATGTGTGAGAAAGAGATTTATATCAAGGAGTAGTTGTATATCAAGACAACATATCAGCACAGTCCAACTCAAGTCCATAAATCCAGTGCTAGTCGATAAGGCCTTCTTCAGACTCATGCAGTCACAAGCAGTGATGCAGAATTCAGGAATAGCATAGGTTGGTGGGTGCAGGGTCATGTGGATCCAGTGGCGGAGGCAGAACTCTGGCAGCAATCAGGGTCAGCCATCAGGTTGGTAAAAGCAGAGAGAGAAGGGAGGTGGGTGCTTATCCCAGGACCCTCCTTATGAGAAGGTCACACTCACAAGGAGGCACCATCAAGCTGTGACCTGAATGATAGGTTGAACACCACCCCTATACTTTTATATATCTTCAAGTTGACATGAAATGATGTAACTCCCCAAAAAACCACTCAAGAAAATAAAATTTCATCATTTAATCTCACTCACGTTGTTGGCACAGGTATGTCTGGCTTTGAAAAAGCTGCTTTTATGACATTGAACTGTCAGGTTGAAACTTGAGACTGCTACAATTTCAGGTTTTCATTAATGCCAAAAAAAGATAATCCAGTAATGGCTGGGGTAAAGTCTTTATTTTTTAAGAACTAACTTTCTTTTAATCATATCTTTTAAAGGAACTCCCACCTTACCTTGGCAAATTGGATGTCACGTTTCAAAGAGGTAAAGGTTTTCATTATTAGTACAATCGTTTACATGAAATTTATTTATGTAAAGAAGCAGATATACATATGTTTCTCATATAGTAAGTTCTGGTCCAAAGTACTGTATTCAGTGCTTGTTTTCTCAGCTCTAACACAACTATAATGTGTATAATTCCCTCATAAAAATAAGAGAATCAATGGAAAGAAACAAGAAGAACCCCTTTCCAATGATTTTATATTTAATTTTACGACACTTGACTGCTTCGTATTTTAAATGGATAAGTCTATAAGTCAAGTAAACAATCGATTTTGTAGTCATCTTCACTATTTAATGACCAGCATAGCAATGTTTTTCTTTTCTGGGAATATTTCTCACAAAGATAACCTGTCTAACCTGAGCTTTTTAGTTATTACAGGTTAGACTAGAAAATACATCATCTTGAGAGCAGGTGCTGAGCAAGTATACAGATATATTTGTGTCAAGATCACAAATCAGCTAATATTCTGAATAATTCAAAAGTATACACATGTCATAGGCTTTGTTGTGGCTTGCAAATAATTGAAGCTTTAGAAAGCCAAATAAAGATCAGAACATTGTTTAAAATAGCTGTCTCTAAATGATGTTTAAGCCTGATATGTGTTTCATTTTACCTTTAGATAAGTATCATTAAGCTGTGTTGGTTTGAGGACACATTGTTTCCATTATTGTAATAAACTGGATTATAAATCCAAGAGAAAAAACAAGCAAAGCCACTGCCATTGAGTTGATTCTGACTCATAGGATTCTATCAAACAGAATATTACAACTCCAGAGGGTTTCTGGAGCTATAAATCTTTATGGGAATAGTAGTTTTATCTTTCTCTCACATAACGCTGGTGGCGTCATGCTGACCTTTGGATTAGTAGCCCAATGTGAAACCCATTGTTAAAAAATCTTGATTTGTATAAATTGTGGAAATTGTATAAATTTTCACATGGAATGAAGATTTTCTTATACATTTTTTATGCAGTAGAACCAAAGCTTGCGAAGGTTAAATGTCCTTTGAGGAAAACATGTTTTCATTTGTTGCTTTGCCCAGAGACTCTTTCAATATTGGAACTCAGTGCTTGACTTTTAAAAATATTCTTTCAATCCAGGATGGATGAGCCCTATAGGACCAGTGGTGTGAGTGGCAAAACAGGGAGGGTGGAGGGAGAATGGGTAGGAAAGAGGGAACCGATTACAAGATCTACGTGTGGCCTCCTCCCTGGGGGACAGACAACCGAAAAGTGGATGAAGGGAGACGTTGGACAGGGCAAGATATGACAAAATACCAATTTATAAACTATCAAGGGCTCATGTGGGAGCGGGGAGCGGGGAGGGAGGGGAAAAACGAGGACCTAATGTAGGGGGTTTAAATGGAGAGAAAATGTTTTGAGAAATGATGTACAAGTACGCTTTACACAATTGATGTGTGTATGGATTGGGATAACAGTTGTATGAGCCCCTAATAAAAATGTTTTAAAAAAATAAATAAATAAAAATATTCTTTCAGTTTAAGATACTCTTGAGTGTGGTTTTTTTCTTTTTGGTTTTCTAACTCTGACTGTGTACATTTCATTATAATATTTTACTTTGTCATGAGAGTGTTGGTGCAGGAAACATCAAAAGAAGATTGAAAGAATATACAGAGTCGCTGTCCCAAAAGGAACTAATGAACATCCCACCATTTCAGAAGGTAGCTTATGAGCAAGAACCAACGGTACTGACGGAAGACGTCTAAGCTATCCTGAAAGCAATAGCCAGAAACAAAGCTCCAGGAATTGATAGAATACCAATGGAAATGTTTCAACAAACTGATGAAGCACTGGAAGTACTCACTTGTCTATGCCAGGAAATTTGGAAGTCAACCTCTTGGGCACCTGACTGCAAGAAACCCATATTTGTACCCATTCCAATGAAAGGTGACTCAACAGAATGTTCAAATTATAGAACAGTTCAATATCACAAGCAAGTAAAATCGTGTTAAGCATCATCCAACAATGGTTACAGCAGTACATTAACAGGGAACTGCCAGAGGTTCAGGCTGGATTCAGGAGAGAACATGAAATAAGGGATATCATTGCTGGTGTCAGATGGATCTTGGGTGAAAGCAGAGAATACCAGAAATATGTTTACTTGTATTTTATTTAACTATGCCAAGACATTCAACGTTGTGGATCACAACAAACTGGGTTGCCTTGAGAAGAATGGAAGTTCCAGAACACTTCATTGTGCTCATGCAGAGCTTGTACTTTGATCAAGAAGCAATTGTGGGAACAAGGGGATATTACATGATTTAAAATCAGGAGAGGTGCTTGCTTCAGCAGCACATGTACTAAAATTGGAATGATAAGGATTCGTAAGGATGACATACAAATTCGTGAAGTGTACCATATTTTTCTGGTTATTCAAGTTCAATGGGATTTTTGATTCTTTGGTTCATTAAATAGCCTTAAACTTAAAAAAAAAAAAACATAAAAAAAATAAAATCAGGAAAGGTGTGCATCAGGTTTGTATCTTCTCACCATACTTACTTAATCTGTAAACTGAGCAAATCATCAGAGAAGCTGGATTATATGAAGAAGAATGAGACATCCTGATTGGAGGAAGGCTTATTTACAACTTGTGATATGCAGATAACACACCTTGCTTACCTAAAGTGTAAGGACTTGAAGCACTTGCTGATGAACATCAAGGATTGCAGCCTTCAGTATAGATTGCAACTCAATGTAAAGAAGACTAAAATCTTTACAACTGAACCAATAGGTAGCATCATGATAAATGGAGAAAAGATTGATGTTGTCAAGGAGTTTGTCTTGTTTGGATTCATAATCAAGAGATCAAATTTGTTGCACTAGATCTCTTTAAAGTGTTGGAAAAAGGTTACTTTGAGGATTAAGGTACACCTGATCCAAGCCAGAGTATTTTCCATCGCCTCATGTACATATGAAAGTTGGACATTGAATAAGACAGACTGAAGAAGAATCTATGTGTTTGAATAATGGTGCTGACGAATATTGAAGGTACCATGGACTGCCAAAAGACTGCACATATCTGTCTTGGAAGAAGTACAACCAGAATGTTCCTTAGAGACAAAGCTGGTGGATTTCATCTTATGCACTTTAGACATGTTATCAGGAGGGACCAGTCGCTGGAGAGAGACATCATGCTTGTTAAAGTGGAGGGACAACAAAAAGAGGAAAGCCCTCAACAAGATGATGGACACAGTGGCTGCAAAGATGGATTCAAGCATAGGGACAATTGTGAGGATGGAGCAAGATGGAGGAATGTTTAGTTCTGCTGGGGTCACTAGGAGGTGGAAGGGACTCAATGGCACTTAACAACAAAAACAGTTTGTTGCTAGTTTTATATCTTCCTCATAACATCATGAAACTTTAAAATGTGAAGAGACCTTTGAGATCATCGATTCCTGTCTCTTCCTTTTATAGATAAGGAAACTGAGGGAGGCCTACAGATGCAAACCAGTTTGATCAAGGTGGTGCTAGTAAATGACAGAACTAGGACTTGAAACCAGACTTCCTCCTTAGCAGTACCATACTGTTTCTCCATCTGAAGAGCTCCGAAAGGCGACGTTAATAGCAATGCCTTATACTCTTCAAGTTTTAGACAACTACAACATGTAATAAACTCATTTATATTGCTTTTAACTCATAAATGTGTCTCCAATATAGTTTACTGTATTTGAGACAGACTGATAAATATACTGTAAAAACTCGACTCATGTTAGGACATTCTTCGGTCTTTTGGGGGGTTTTGTTGTTGTTTTTACTGTTTTCCCCTGCTCAGAACTCTTCCTACCTTTCTTTTAATTCTGAAAGAGAGCATCAAGTTTTGGAAGAATAGAAAATTCAGACCTCTTGCTTTGTTTGTGGTTCCCAACTCTAATAGAGAAGTAAGTGCTCTCTTTGAAAAGATCGTTTGGTGGGCCATAGGCTACATTAAAAGCGAAATAAAAATTTATGAACTAAGCAGTTATCATTGATTTTACTTGAAAGTAGCCTTTTCTCATGGAAAATATAATTTGAATAACCTAGAGGTGGCTATCAGTTTTAAAGTTCTAGTATGTACTGGGAGCCGTTTCAACATTCCATCATCCAGTGATTTCTATCACATGCTCCTTGATTTTCACCTCCTATCTTTTAATATTTACCATTTGTAGTCCCTATTTCTCAGCTGGCTATTCTCTGCCCAGAACAATACAGCACACAAGCTTTCCCCATCCTCCCAACTCCTTTTCAATACTCCAGGGAGTTCAGTCATCTAATTTAAATCTTCACATCTCCTTAGTGTATTCCGCCCACCACCCAGCACACATTTTAATTTGCTTGTTCCCCTTCTGCTAAATGCAATAAAGTTAGTTATAGCATAATGTGTCATTTCACTATTCCTAAGCTGTGTCTGTTAGATTTTACCGTGTTCTTGGTTGAGCCTTGCATACATCTAAAATATTGCCCCAGGCTCTTTGACTGCTGTATTAATTTTTTATTCATATTTAGATGCTAACAAAAATTTCCCCTTCATGAGAGCTATATTGTCCAAAATAACTTTCTGTTGTGATGGGAATGTTCTGCATCTGGACCATCCAATGCAATACCCTATAGCCCCACGTGTACAGTTAAGGAATTGAATTTTAAGTTTTATTTCATATTAATTCAACTTAAAGAGCCCCATGTATTTGATACTTCCCCAGTAGTTCAAACATTAACGCACTTGGCTGCATTAAAGGTTGCGTGAAGGTTGGAACTTCAAGCCCACCCAGAAGTGCCTTGGAAGAAAGACCTACTGATCTATCTACTTCTGAAAAATCAGCCATTGAAATCACTATGGAGCACAGTTCTAGTCAACATGAACTTCCCATATAGTTTGACATTTTAGTTTATAAGTGACAGGAGCCAGTGTATGGCCAGGAAAATATTTTTTAGGTACATGAAAAGATCAGGTTAAAATTTGTAGATACATTGTATTATAAACCAGATATCCAACTGCCATTGAGTCAACTCTGACTCATACTGACCCTATAGGACAGACTAGAACTGCCTCTCTGCCTTTCTGGGCTGTACATTTCTATGGGAGGAGAAAGCCACCCCTTTCTTCCTTGGAACCACTGGTGCAGTCCCATTATGCTATATATACCATATCTCCTGGAGTGTAAGCCTACACGAACACCAGCCAGGGCACCTAATTTTACTACAAAAACTGCATTAAAAATGTGCTGAAAAACGGCTTATAGACTAGTATATATGGTACTATATTATATCTATATTAAATTCATGAAATAAAAATAATAGAGGTCACATTGTTATGACCAAATTGTGAGATTTGGGATTATTTTTCTTCTCTTTTCTCTGTTTTTTTCCTCATTCTGAAAATGTCTTGCAACTTAGAGATTTAGAGAAGTCTAAATGTCATAACTTTTGTAATCATCGAAAATAGTGTATCCTAACACTACATTTAAAAATTTTGCTTTCTTAGAATGCCACTGTGAAGGAAAAGATAACCGAATTCCATTACTGAAGGAAGTTTTTGAGGCCTTCCCCAACACTCCTATTAACATCGATATCAAAGTCAACAACAATATGCTGATTAAGAAGGTATTTAAGGTTTCAGTCTTCACAAACAGGGCTGCACTAAGTGACTGCGTAGATCGCCGTGTTGGAGGAAATGTGATACTAGAGAACTCCCTCGTTGTTGTAAATAATATCCTGAAAGACCATCTTTGCAGAAAGTGGTCAGTTCTCAGTTGTGGAGAAAAGTTAACGCCGGTGAACCAATCACACTGGCATTAATTCAATTAACTTCTTGATTTTTTGTTAATATAAATCATTTTATTGGGGGTCTATTACAGATCTTATCACAATTCATAGGTACATCCATTGTGTCAAGCACATTTATACATAGGTTGCCATCCTCATTCTCAAAACATTTTCTTTCTACTTGAGCCCTTGGTGTACAGCTCATTTCTCCCCCTACCCACTCCCTCCTTCAGGAAGCCTTGATAATTTAGAAATTATTTTTTTCTTGTCTTACGTTGACCAATGTCTCCCTTCACCCACTTTTCTGTTGTCCTTCCCCCTGGGAGGGTGTTATATGTAGACCATTGTGATCAGTTCCCCCTTCCCTCCCCACCCCTCACCTTCTCTTTATCCTCCTGGTATCACTACTCTAACTATTGGTCCTGAATTCCCTGTGTTTTGAGCTCTTATTTGTGCCAGTGTACATGCTCTGGTCTAGCTGGATTTGTAAGGTAGAATTGGGGTCATGATAGTGGAGGAGAAGAAGCATTAAAAAACTGGAGGAAAGTTGTATGTTTTATTGGTGCTATACCGCACCCTGACTGGCTCATCTCTTCCTTGTGACCCTTCTGTAAGGGGATGTCCAGTTGCCTACAGATGGGCTTTGGGTCCCTGCTCCTCACTCCCCCTCATTCACGATCTTTTGTTCTGGGTCTTGATACCTGATCCCATCAACACCTCATGATCACACAGGCTGGTGTGCTTCTTCCATGTGGCCTTTGTTGCTTCTCAGCTCGATGACCACTTGTTTATCTTCAGGCCCTTACAGGTCTTTTTTTTTTAATCGTTTTATTAGGAACTCATACAACTCTTATCACAATCCATACATACATCAATTGTGTAAAGCACATTTGTACACTCATTGCCCTCTTCATTCTTAAAACATCCGCTCTCTACCCAAGCCCCTGGCATCAGCTCCTCATTTTTTCCCCTCCTTCCCACCTCCCTCATGAACCCTTGATAATTTACAAATTATTATTTTGTCATATCTTGGATTGTCCGATGTCTCCCTTCACCCACTTTTCTGTTGTCTGTCTCCCAGGGAGGAGGCTATATGTAGATCCTTGTAATCAGTTCCCCCTTTCCAACCCACCTTCCCTCTACGCTCCCAGTATCGCCACTCACACCACTGGTCCTGATGGGATAATCCGCTTTGGATACCCTGTTTTCAGTTCCTATCTGTACCAGTGTACATCCTCTGGTTTAGCCAGATTTGTAAGGTAGAATTAGGATCATGATAGTGGGGGAGGGAGTGAGGGGGGAAGGAAGCATTTTAGGAACTAGAGGAAAGTTGTATGTTTCATTGTTGCTACATCGCACCCTGACTGGCTCATCTCCCCAAGACCCTTCCCCTTACAGGTCTTATAACAATCCAAACATCAGTTGTATCAAGCACATTTGTACAAATGTTACCTTCATCATTTTCAAAATATTTTCTTTCTGCTTGAGCCCTTAGTATCAGCTCCTTTTTCCCTCCCTCCCTCCTTCCCTCTCATTCTCATGGATCCCTGATAAATTATAAATTATTATTATCATATCTTACACTGCATGCTGTCTCCTTTTGTCCATGTTATTGTTGTTCGTCTCCCTAGGGAGGGAGGGGGAATTGTGCTTCATTGTAGTCGGTTCCCTGTTTCTCCCCCCACCCCATCCCCTTTGACCCTCCCCCTCATGGTATTGCTACTCCCATTGCTGTTCCTGAGGGGTATATCTATCCTGGATTCCATGTGTTGAGAACTCTTACCTGTATAGAACTGGGGTCTATGGTAGTGGGGAGGAGGAATCATTGAAGAACTAGAGGAATGTTGTGTGTTCCATCGGTGCTGTACTGCACCCTGGCTGTCTCATTCTTTCCTTCTGACCCTTCTGTGAGGAAATGTCCAATTATCTACAGATGGGCTTTGGGTCTCCACTCTGACCCCCATCATTTGCATCTATATATTTGTTTTGTTTTGGGTCTTCTGATGCCTAATACTTTATCCTATAGTCATCCCGTGATCACACGGGCTGGTATGCTTCTTCCATGTGGGCTTTGTTGCTTCCCTGCTAAATGGCTGCTTGTTTAGCTTCAAGCCTTTAAGACCCAGGTGCTATATCTTTTAATAGCTGGGCACCATCAGCTTACTTCATCACATTTGCTTATGCACCCGTTTTGACTTAAGTGATCGCTTTGGGAAGGTGAGCTTCACAGAATGCCAGGTTGTTAGAACAAATCTTGCATTGAGGGAGTATTTGAGTAGAGACCCAAGGCCCATCTGCTACTTTAATGCTTAACATATGAATATATGTACATAGAACTATATCCCTATCAATATATATTTTGTATTTACATATATGCATGCCAAAATTTATGCCTCTATAAATGTCTTTTGCTTCCTAGTTCGTTCCTCTTTTTTTTAGCTTTCCTCCTGTCCCACTATCATGTTTGACCTTCATTTGCCTCTCAGTACTTTCTCTTGGTCACACCCTGTCAAGCCCTCATTGCCATAGATTTTAGATCTCTTATTGTTCCCTTGTCCCTGGGTTTCAATTAACTTCTTGTTTAACTTGTTTCATTTATAGTTTATGTAAAATTCCAAAATAGTTGCATATATGCTCCTTGATAAATTGTATAATGGTAAAATGTAAATAATTTCTTGTATTTTATAAAAGTAATCTGAATTTGCATACAGGTTTTTCCAAAATTTTATACTGTCCACTGGCAGGTGGTCAATTGTGATTAATTTTTAAAGTGAAATGTAAGTGGATTAACAAACATATTTGACATTTTAAATTTCCATTTGTAGGTTTCAGAATTGGTAAAGCAGTATAAACGGGAACATATAACAGTGTGGGGTAATGCCAGTTATGAAATTGTAAAGAAGTGCTACAAAGAGGTAAGCTTCAAAACACACACAATAATTTCTTTATCATTTCTTCTCTACATGGTAGGTTATTATAGTAATTTTAAAAAATCTATTTTACAGCCTTGATGCAAAGACAGATGGTACTGGGTGGAATTAACTAGCCAGAAAGTTACTAATAGAAACAAAGAGTTTAACTTTGCAATTTAAGTTCACTGTAATTGGGTTCATTCACAGAATTATGAATATTTATAAACTTGTTTACTAGCAGTTTGTTGTGCACATTATAAAACAAAATATTTCTATCTTTTAGTGTTTATTTCTTGTTAGGTAATCAAAATTTCTTGTGCAAATTTGAATTAAGGAAGTGTGTATAGTCTTTCAACTCTAACCCAAGAGTTTTTTTTTTTTACCCTGTTCCCCAAATATACTAATATAAGTAAACCAAAATCATGATGGTCAGTAGGATATAAAAACAAGGCTGTCCTACTCACTGAAAACTTTCTAGTTCAAGAAAGTATGTTTACAAAATATTAATTTGGGGAAAATGCAGAACAGAATTTCAAATTCTTAGCTGTGGAAGTTGGATGAACCCCTGAAACTATTGCCCTGAGACCATTTTGATACCTTAAACCAAACAAAATGTTTGCTGAATCCTTCTGTAAAACAAACAGTAGTTTAGCTTTACTCACTCACTACCATCTAGATCAGCGGTTCTCAACCTGTGGGTCACAACCCCTTTGGGGGTCGAATGACCCTTTCATAGGGGTCGCCTAAGACTATTGGAAAACACATATTTCTGATGCTCTTAGGAACCGAGACACTGCTCCTCTATCCGCCTCCAGACGGGTCCACCCACGTACAGATACACCCACATACAAGTACCCAGCATGAATACTGCTTCAAGACAAAATTTCATTTGTTTCTAATTAGAAACAAATAGTTCACAATATATAATTACATATTGTTTTTGTGATGAACCACTATGCTTTAATTATGTTGAGTTTGTAACAATTAAAATACATGCTGCATATCAGATATTTACATGACGATTCATAACAGTAGCAAAATTATAGTTATGAAGTAGCAACGAAAATAATTTTATGGTTGTGGGGGGTCACCACAACATGAGGAACTGTATTAAAGGGTTGTGGCATTAGGAAGGTTGAGAACCACGGTCTAGATCATTTAGAGTCATAATGACCTCTAGGACAAGGTAAAACTACCTCTGTGGGTTTCCAAGACTATAAATCTTTATGGACGTGGAAAGCCATTCTTTCTCTTCTGGAGCTCCTGGTGGTTTCAATCTGCTTTGATGTTCGTAGCCCACTACAACCACAAAGGCTCCATACTTAAGCTTAACTAGTAAGAAATGTCTGCTATGAGCATGATGCTCTTCTGAAAAGAACTCTCTCTATAGGGTCAAGCTGGCAACAGCAATTCAAAGATTAGATAGGAACCGTAGTGACCAGTGAATTTATGTTAATGGAGAAGGAACAACTCAGAAAAAGAGAGGAGCATGTTTACACAACTTGAAGAATGTTACCAGTGTCACTAAATTGTACACATAGGAATCATTGAATTGATACATGTTTTGCTGTGTATATCTTCAACAAGAAAACCAGTAACATTAAAAAACAACGACAAAATACCTTTATCTATTTTGAAATGGTTTACTGAACCTCCATAAAATAAGTTTAGCTTTATGATCAGCTAGAGAATTTGAAATTCAAAATGTTAAAAAATCTAAAGCATTCATGACTCCTTGGAGTACAAATGATAATGCAAAAGAAATAGCAGTTTTCAAACACAGAACTTTTTTAGTAAAGCCTTCTTTCCTAGCAAAGAAGGCAAAAACCGTTGTGAGGTCAGCACCATTTCAATTTAAAGAACCAATAAGGTCCTCATTAAATTAAGTACGTTTTATTACATGTAGTAGACCAGGCATCCTCAAACTAAAGCCCGCAGGCCACACGTGGCCTGCCGAGGACATTTATCTGGCCCGCAGGGTGTTTTGTTTTTTACTTCAAAATAAGGTAAGTGCAGGGTGCACAGAAATTTGTTCATAGTTTTTTTTAACTATCGTCCGGCCCTCCAACGGGCCTGAGGGACAGTGAACGGCCCCGTTTAAAAGTTTGAGGACCCTTGTAATAGACTGTGCAGAGCCAAACCTGTTGTTGGGTGCAGCCCCATCAGGCCTGATTCAGAGCGAGCCGATGGACAACAGAGCAAAGCACCGCCCGGGCTTGCGCCATCCTCACGTTTGTTCTTATGCCTGAGCCCATTGTCAGTTCATCTCATTGACGGCCTTCCTCTTTTCCACCGTCTCTCCACTTTGTCACGCATGATGCTGCTCTCCAGGGACTGGTCTCCTGATAATATGTCCAAAGTACACGAGATGCAGTCTCACCAGCCTTACCACTAAGTTGCATTCTGGCTCTATTCCTTCCAAGATAGATCTGTTTGTTCTTTTATCAGTCTGTGGAATTCTAAATATTCTTTGCCAGCATCATAGTTCAAATTAATTGGTTTTTCACTGATCTTCATTATTCAATATCCAACTTTCACATACATATGAGGCAATTGAAGATACCATGGCTTGGGTCAGGAAAACCTTAGTGCTCAAAAGTAAGTAACATCCTTACTTAAAAATTTTTTAATCATTTTATTAGGGGCTTATACAACTCTTACCATAATCTATACATACATCATTTGTGTAAAGCACATTTGTTGATTCATTGCCCTCATCATTCTCAAAACATTTGCTCTCCACTTAAGCCCCTGGCATTAGCTCCTCATTTTTCCCCTCCCTCCCCACTTCCCCCTCCCTCATGAACCCTTGATAATTTATAAATTATAATTTTGTCATATGTTGCCCTGTCCGACATCTCTCTTCACCCAATTTTCTGTTGTCCATCCCCCAG